GAGAGAGAGAGAGAGAGAGAGAGAGAGAGAAGTATAGTTACTTGGATGTAGCGTGGGCACATGTTGAGCTAAACGGTCATCCTTGAGCATGTGAAGCAATGTGGTTTTACCTGCATTATCCAAGCCTAGGAAGAGAAGCTTGCCACTCTTCTTCCACAATCCTGAAACAATAAGGAAATTATACAGATTAAATGAATAACAAGTTGGTAAAGAAACAGAACTTTCCTGTAGAAATTTACAATACTAATAAGAAATGTCATACAAAATTAGATAAACCAAATTAATACTAAATTTTCTATTACAGATTATGAAAAGATGACTGTTTACTTGAATCAGATAACAAATATGATAAATGTAACTGTGATCTGAACAAGTATTATTCACTTAAAAATAATTGCAATTATAAAAGAGCTTGTTTTACAATTATCCTTTCAATGAAAGATGAAATTATTTCAATATTATATCCCAGACGATTGTTCTGATAACAGAGTTGACTGTCTTGACAATAACGTATATATATTTATCGTTTCTGAATACTCCAAGCACTGTCGTGGCGATACGCGATTAAAATAGTATATTTAGATTAAGATTTGCTTGAATTGCTATACGAGCGGTGATTGCAAGACGACGAACTGACGCAAAGAAAATTTTACTCACCAAGATAATTCAGCACTCCAGCAAACCAGTCCCAAATAAACATATTTGTAGCTGCGATTATGTGACGTGCTGTGTGTGTGTGAGTGTTAACTAACGAATGACTCTGCAACAATAGCAAGGCAAGTTAACAAGAGGCCAACGTGACTCGGTCGGCTGATTCTTTTTAAATCCGCCCTCGCAACCTTGAACTTTCTACACAGGGAGCGAGGTGCGAACACGTCGTAGTCGTCGTACTCGTGTGTACCTCGACGATCCGATTCCTCTCGGCTGCACTTCTCTCCACCTTCCTGGAGCCTCGTGTTCTCTTCGCGCTGACAAGTCTAATTACACGGCTCGCTTAGCTTTGCAGCGACGAAGTGTAGAAAAGAAGTGCAGACGAGGCGGAACTGCGATGTGGAATTTATGACGACTCGCTTATTCTCTCTCTTGCCATATGATTGACGACGTGATTTATTAACCCAAGACAACGGCTCACCAGATCTCCGTCTCTCTCTTTCTCTCTCGCTCTTTCGTTTACTGACACCAGGCAATTATAGCCTCTCCCGATGTCTCTCTCTCTCTCTCTCTCTCGCGAATCAACGAGACGCAAGATCGACGGCCGATTTCCCAGAAAATCGTTAAAAAGCGACAGCCGGAGGCCCGTTACTCGCCCGTGTTGACGTATGTTTCACGTACCCAATGTGAAAAAAACGTACGGAGGCCGCGGGGACGGAGAAAAGTGCTTTTCCTCCCATAGAAAGAGCAGCCCGACCACAGAGCCAACCCGTTGGCTGGCACTGCTGGCAGTTGGCACTCTGGGTGACGTCTACTTCCGCTCGCCATACTGCACGGTAATAATTGCTGCATCACAGGCGCGAGATTTTAAACATTTTCTTTTTGCTATACATTTAATTGCCTTTTAACTTTCAAATTATTTTATCGCTGCAACGCAAAATTGTATTTCTTTCTTTTGCGAAACAATTACAAATTGCTTTTAATCTGGAAAAAACAATCACCTTTGAAGGATAAAGTAGGAAAGTAGAAATAGAGAGGCAACTTATCCTTTAAATAGGTATTTGAATTGATATTGATAGAAAGGGAACATTCAGAAGCATGTTCAATATAAATTTCAACGTATCTCTGCTTACTGATTTATTTAAACCTATTGATAAGTTTAAATAAAATTTATATTTACACTTATCAGATTTAACTGGAAAATAAATTTTTTCTTAACGCTCTCATCATGTTCTTTAGAAGAATGCCGATTATCCTACATCAAAAGCATGTTTACATCATGAAGCTATGTGGAAAAAATAATTTTTATCTCTTATCTCGCTGTTTTTCAAGTGCATCTGTAGAGGAACTAAGAAACTTGTACAGAAAAGTAACCTAATCAAACTCCAAAACAAATAGACTATTACAATTGCTTAAACATATTAAATATGTATAATCATCATATCGCATAAGAGATTATCGATATTCACATATCTAAAGATATCTAACATTTCTTTTATAAGCGTAGTTTATTACGTCTTTCGTATTTTTCCTATAATAATAACTACTAAAGTGTTATTGTAATTAAATTAAAGTTCTGTATGTTTATTACAAATGTTAACGCGAAATTTGCATTATCTTCATGTCTTTACTTGCATTAACTTAATGTCTCAATTTGACATGAAAAATTGAAAGGCTACAATTATTTACATCGCGTTATTTTCTAGAAAAAAAAAAATTACCTACGCATTACATACACAGTTTTATGTAAGAAGTAAACGTCTCGGTGTAGTTGAAAAATCAAAATTTGCTGATTGTTCGCAGATACGAATTTACTTACTACGCAGTAGCACCGAAACTCTTTTCATCCTAATCGCGCCGATATTGAGTTATAAATAAATTGAGTGATTTGCTTAGAGCGCATCTTGACTGGCTTTATTTCTAAGGGACGAAACAGACGACGGTGGGATCCCACTTAGTTTGTTGGGCGATAAAAGGTACGTCTTTCTCGTGGAATCCTGTGTCACGACGTTATTACTCTGAAAAAGTTAAGTATGTACTTGAAAAAACTATTGCAGTACATCGCGATTTAAGAACGGTGCAAAAACGATTTAAAATAAAAATTCAGCTTTGAAGTGTCTAGAGCACAATAGTGTAAGATAACCTGTGTAAGATAACATGAAATCTCTGATAGTGGTCAATAAAATGTGAATTAATAATAAATACATCAGACTAGACAGTCACAATATTTCTTTGTCCATATTCTAATTTTTTTAAATTACAAATATTTTTTTACAATTAAAACAATTAAACGAGCAAGGAAAGTTTCTCGACATAAAATAAAATAAAATTAAATAAAATAAAATTAAATTAAATTAAATTAAAATAACATTGTATTCTGCAATATTTTCAGGCTACTTTCTGCTTGAACTGCTGAGAGACTTACACTAATTCAGGCTCTAGGCTCTCGAAGCTCAAAGTCGGGTTTGTTGCGTATTTAATGTGAGCCTAGGCATCACCTGCTGCGAATTCGAATTTGCCCCCGAATTGACAATGGTGGCATATGCAGACTGCTGAGAGCACGTTCGCATGTGCGTGGGCCAATGCGACTGCTGGCACGGGTAATTACAGTAAGCGGTGTTCCAGCAACAGTAAAACATCGCTTCCTGCCCGCATTTGGCGCACCACTGCTTTCGCTTGGTCTCCTCGACACACCGGATCTTCTCCTCCTCGATCTCTTTGCGTGCCTCCTCGACCGCTCGTAATTTCTCCGCTTCCAAACTCGCGCGCATCTCACGCAGGGTACGATCTGGAATTCACAACGCGCTTCCTCAAGTGTTGTGTTTCACGTTGATGGTGACTGACTGTCAATTTTTTTTTTTTTTTTTTTTTTTTTAGAAGAAAGAAAAGAGATACATACCGGCGTTGTGTTTCAACTCGGCCAGCTGCTGCTGATGCTGCCACTTGATATGTTCGATCTGCATCCGCAGGAAGAATACGGTCGCCTGGTAACTGTCAGCGGTACCGTTGTCGCCGTTGACATTTTCCTGGGCCGCCTCCTTGTACGCCTCTTCCATCAGATGGCCCATTTTTCTCGCGAGAGCGTGCGCATCGTGGTGCAAACGCGCGCTAATCGGTCCGGCTTCCGGCGGTAGCAGCTGATACGTGGATGACGTTTCATGGTTAACAGGAGATACCTGAGTAGTAATTCCGCCTGTATCCGACAAGCGTTGAACATTTTGTAAATTGTGTAATCTGCAAGGGAAACTCTTTCTAGCTTTGCTCTGCTTCTTTGGAGGGGAATTATTATGCCCCTCCTTTGTCGCATCCTTGTTGCCCTGGTAGTCGATCGTCGGCGCGATCTGCTTCGCGGGCTCAGCTGACTTGCCGTTCACCACGAGGAGTAGCACAGACTTGTCCGTTATGGGAACGATCGCATTCGCCGATGGAATGGTATGAGCTTTGGACGTTGTAGAAGACAGCGTCAGATCGATTTCAGTTATGTTCTTTTGTACACTCGACGATTCCTTGTTACTGTTCAACGACATCCTGGGACTGACCTTGCTCGAATTCGATTGTTTCTCGTTCTCTTTGCTCGGAGAAGCACGCTTCAATTCTTTCTCCGCGTTCATTTTGTCGACCATTCTCGTTTTCGGTTTGAATACTTTATTGTTTTTCGTATACTTGGTAGTAGCAGCAGTAGTAGTAGCCTTCGAGTTGTCCATTTGTGAGAGCGCCAGTTTAGGATTGATAATATTTTTCAAAAGGGTTCTCTTCTGCACTCGCGCCGAACTCGCGTCAGGCGATTCAGTAACCGATTGCGTCGCAGTCTTGGGCGCATTTTTCGTAGACGATTTTTCATTCTTCGCTTTCGGCAAATTATTTTTATCTGAGCTACTGCAGGTATCAGGACTCGTGCTATTATCTTCGTCGGCATTATCCGTAAGCGTAACATTTAATCGAGACGTCGATGCGTTTCTCGATCTACCGTCTCTTACCGTTTTCTTTTGAGCAACTTGTTGAGGTGGCGACTTTACAGTCATTTGATCTGCTCTCTTATTTAATTTACTATGACTATCATCTACATCAATTTGCGAGTTTAAAGTATCCGTAACATTGGTATCTAATTTTTGTACTTTTGACGCTAAAGTACCTTCGCTCTCCTTCTCACTAGCGTAAGGATCTATCTCACCGATATCAGCCGACTCGTCGCTCTGTGATTTACCTCTGACGACACTCCGTTTTTTCTGCGGCGCCTTTTTCTTCTGAGGCGTGGAAAATTCGGGTTTGGGAAAATGATTGTTGGGCTCGAGAGGGTTGTAATTAGGTAGCATCAGCTGTATCTGCATCGGATCGTTCGGATCGTACTGAACTTTGGCCGGCGCAAACTTGAACTGACCAAACATAAGCGCGAGTTTTCTGCAGTGCCGAGTAATCTCTTGCACGCACTCGTCCATGTCGGACTTACGTTTACGGGGGGATGGCGCGGGCGGCTCCTCGGAGTACAAGAAGAGATCCTTCGGCGGTACCCAGGCGCGGTCGTGCTCGCCGAAGAAACGCACGTCCACGCATCCTTGAGAGTTGACGCGAGGCATCGCTTTTGCCGGCCAGAACGGGAAACCCTTCAGTTTGGCCCACACCAGGGGATGCGGTCGGCGGCAGGGCTCGATAAACCACGAAGGTTGAGGCCTCGGCAAATTTCGACCGTGTGCGTAGCAGTCGGGACACGCCTCGATTTCCGAGACTTCCTGACGCACCACTTTGATAATCTGTTTCGACGCGTTCGTCAGTTTCGACGTGTCCGTGTAAACACCACCGCCTGTAGATATCAAAAGTTTATTTTGTTTATTTTTCAATTTTAACACTCACGATTTAGACGAATTTAAAAGCGCAGTGTAGTTCACGTACACGTATTGAATACGATACAATTATGTTGAATCCATTTTGCATCGGCCATAAACGCATCGGTACTGCCGTAAAGCTTAGCCCGCACATTCGATTCCAAAAGACTTAGGTCCATCGGCTTGACAACGTAATCCAGGTAATTTGGTACTTCTGTGAGATCCACCGGTTTGCAAAATGGTTCAGACTACAATCAAGAGTAAAAAATTAATTAGAAATACATAAATTGTAATAACCCAATAAACGCTATAGCATTTAATGAAAATAGAATGCACGTACGCCGGGATAGTCGCGTAATCTCTCAACCACATGTTTGAGCAACATGCATAACTGATCGACGGACAATTGCGCCATGGCTATGGAGCGCGTCTCGGCGTTTTCCGCTTTCAAAATGGTCGCACATTCCCCGCATATCCACTTGTCCAATGATGGCGGCATGCCTCCTATACATTTACGATGCCACGAGCGTGGACAGGCGGTGCAGTAGGCGTCGACCTTCTCCTTGTGACAACGCCAACAAAATCGATCGTAGCCGGCTTTTAATTTCTTCCTCTTGCTCCTGGTGCCGCTCTCCTCCACGGAAGATTCCACCGTCGCGGTCGGTGGATTGCTGGAAATATCAACGCGTACTCCTTTTTGTATCTAGATACATCTAGATGTTTAAAAATATGTCTTACTTATATATAAACTTTCTATGTGGCGCGTAATACAAGTTAAAGTTACCTTACGGTTTTTCGCTTTCGTTTTAAAACAGATGCTCCTTTTGCCGGAGTATCTTTGCTATTTTCTCTCTTAACTTCCTTCTCTTCATCTGTACTCTGAGGATCCGCAAGTGAGGCTACATTTTGCACCTCTTGCTTCTTATCCGTCTCACTGTCATCCTGTTTACCATCAACTACCAATGATTTTAAATCATCTTTGTTTTCATTTTTTACATCTTCACAACTGTTTTTCTCCACAGTTATACATTCAGTTGTATCTGACATTAAATTCTTATCCTTTGCATCGGCAGCTGTATCGCTCGGCTCAGTGTGGCTGTCAACCGGCGGCGAAGCGGTTGGTGATTTTTTCTCGTCCGCGTTTGATTGTGCCATCGAATTTACCTTATCCCCGACGGAAGATTTTACCGAATCTTTGCTGCTCTCGTTGGACGCCATTTTGATTAACACCTTCGACAGAAAGCATTTACATACTTGATTCACTGACAAAAGGTATTAGTGTATACATCAAGTATACAGATCCATATATATTATCTATTTATAAAACGGTCACGTTTTCTACTGCCATCAGTCAACTATGTAGCTATTATTACAAACCAAACCAGTTGGACTAAATTCCATAGATATGTAAAAATCAAATATTTATTTCAACACGACTCGAACGTAAAGATACGTATATTATCTAATAAAGATTTTGTGCCCGCGAGTTGTTATTATCCATGATAATAACAACTACATGTTAGTGACAATTTGGGAATTTAAAGCGTAGCTTCTAGATTTGCTGTAAGATACCAGCATTCTCGCTTATCGGTTATCGTCGCATTGTAAAGCACCGCGAAAGCGTACGCGGGTGCGCACGAGGTGTCGAGCGTAAACAGGTCCTTTTACCTTGTACAGAGAGATAGACAGATATGACGCGCTTATGCGCTACTAGTCGACTGTCCCCGGGAATTTGGAAACGAGCCGCCGGCGCGGCTTAGGAGAGTGCCAAGTGTAAATGCAGTGTCGCAGCGTCGCGGCCGTGCAGTCGTTTGTTGTGACTCAACGTGCTCCACTTCCAGAACGTGCTCGCCTTCCTCTCTTCTGCTCCTCTTGGGGTCCGGTGAGATGCCAGCCTTTTGCCAGCCTTGCCAGCCTTGCCCGCTGACGGTGGCGCCATCCGTCGTCAGGTCAGGTGTCCCTCACGGGCACTCGCGCGGATGCCATCGTGGTCACGTGATACTCTCCGTTCCGCTGCTATCTTCCATCCCGTTTCTGTCCTCGTCGATCGTATACCCGCTGTGACGGGGGTGTGCGGAGGTGTGCGGAGGTGTGCGGAGAGGACAACTGTCAACCGTCTGAACCGTCCTCCGCGGCACGGTGATCCGGCCGTGAGGCGACTCGCGACGACGAGAAACTACAACGAGCAGAGGAAATGAACATTTCGATTAGATTCGTCTCCGCGATCCCGCAAAGGCATCCGTGAAAATGAGATGAAGCAACAAACAATAAACATAAAGTCGAACGAAACGTTAAGAAGTGAGGCTAAAGATTGCACGTTATAGAAGAAATTAACGTTCGATCGATCGTCGCACGTACCGCTCGTCTTCTTCTTTCCAGGAAGCAGCGGGATGCGCCGCAGGCTGTCATCCCGCGATACATTTTGCGTCAGCCTCGCGAAAGACGTTCCTCCTGAGTTCCGCGGCAATGTTCTCGCTATTCGATCGGTGTTTTCGCTCTCGCGCGCATAAATATCGAATGGAAATTGTCAAATTTGCCTCGATATCGTAATTGCGGGACGTCTTCTCGTCTGGATTAGACATGACAATTCGAGAATCCCCTGTCGCTGCCTCGGCTCCTCCCGTGTGTCTCATCAAGTCATCACTGTCATCCAGGCGTGTCCAATAGGTTATGTGATCACGGTCGTCGGTCAGTGGTCACGTGGTGCGCGATAGCCTAACCTCCTCTTTTTTACCCTTTCTCTTTTTCGCCTCTCTCTCTCTCTCTCTTCCATTTCTCCACTGCAGTCAGTGCAGTCAAGTGCTTAGTGCAGTCAAGTGATGCGATACAACCAGATACAACGATATCGCGAGCGAAGCGATCAGCATACTGTGAATGGTGCGACGAATTGATTATGGATCGCGTAGAGCAGCGTAGAGATGGTAAACAAGTCACACAACAGCTGTGACTTTATCTAGTCACATTCGAGATAAATGGGGAACGCCGCGGACGAATCTGTGGCTGGGACCGAGATTGATCGCTGAGGTGTGGAATTCTCCAAAGAAACGGTCGGGACTAGGCACAGAGCGAATTATGCCTCGAGGATTACGCGACAGTCCGGCCGTTCGGCAGACTGCTTAGGTTATGTCGTTTCGTCAAAGTGTTTGTATCTCACCGAGAAACTCGTTGACCGCCACGTAGAGAGAGAGGTTATAATGGGCGACCACATCGGCGATAACATATTAATCCCGCAAGTCGACAATGTCGTGTTGGTCGACAAGAGCGATAGCAATAACAAGAGCATGGACGGGACGTTGTGCATCAGTGGTCATCATCTCATCTTGTCCTCCAGGCAGGACGACGGACAGGAGCTTTGGGTAAATAATTTATTAATCATCTTGTCTGTTTGTATTCCTTTTTCTCATCAGATTAGCATATTTGAATAATCTCTTTTAAACAGACAATCTGTGCATTTTGTGTTTGAAAGAGAGCAATTTATCTTTTTAAACATATTTAACAAAATTGACATTTTCATCACTTTCAATCGCACGCTTTAAACCACAGTTTACTTTATCGAATTGTTCTCTTTTTCGGTCAGTTGATGAACAGAAATATCGACGTCGTAGAGAAGAAACTGAATACTCAGAGCCCAGGCGGTAGCATAATATTGAAATGCAAGGATTTTCAGATCCTTCAGTTAGATATTGGTTCCACTAATGATTTAATCAACGCCATATTGTCTATAGAGAAGCTGATATCACTAGGTAATTTGACATAATCTGTATGTGTTTGCCCAACATTGCTCGAGGAAATAAGATATTTAATTATCCTGTTTGTACTTTGCAGATCAAACTCTACAATATCCATTCTTCTATCGACCACAGGCAACCAACAACATCATGATACAAATAGAAGATGGATGGACAGCATTTGCACCTGTCTCCGAGTGGTCCAGATTGCTGGCGGCTCACGGGGATGAGTGGCGTATCAGTTACCTGAACAGGGATTACAAAGTTTGTACTTCATATCCGTCGGCAGTCATAGTGCCGCGTCAAGTAGACGACAAAGTTGTAATAGCTTCGGCTGGCTTCAGGGACGGCGGAAGGTTCCCTGTTTTGTGTTACAGACACGAGGGAGGGGTAAGTAAAATGTATATTAAATTAAAAACCTAAAATTAAAACTAAGTAACATCTACTCAACTGTACTCGCGACTGTTCGATTTTTATCTTATTGCAGAGTATACTGTTGAGAAGCAGTCAGCCGTTGTGCGGTGCCACTGGTAAGAGATGCAAGGAAGATGAAAAACTGTTAAATGCAGTTCTAGGTCCCGGAAGACGTGGGTAAATATACGACTGACATACGATTGCTCTTAAATCACAGATATCTGCTTTCAGACACTTGTTATAATTGTGAAATTTTAATTGCACAGTTACATAGTGGACACAAGGTCAGTTAGTCAGGCACAGGGTGCCAGAGCCAGAGGCGGAGGTACGGAAATGGATACGGCTTATCCGCAATGGCGTAAAGTACACAAACCAGTTCCTCGGCCGCACGATTTGGCCGATAGTTTCTACAAGTTAATAGAGGCTTGCAACGACGTGAACAGCTCCACTTCGCAATGGCTGTCGAAACTGGATAACAGCGGTTGGCTAACCGCTGTGCAGAGCGCCTTAAATGCTGCCTGCGTCACCGCGCAATGCCTACATCAAGAAGCGGCGGCTGTGCTAGTGCACGGTGCGTATGTGTATATATATATACGTCAAATATTAATAGTAACATTTGATAATTAATATTGCAAAAAAATATTGCGTTTTCATCAAACTACTCTTTTTCTTCGGAATATCGACCGTAATGATATTATGATATTATGATATATTTTCGATTTATAGGTAGCACAGGCAGGGACTCGACGTTGGTGGTAACCAGTTTGGCTCAGGCAATATTGAATCCTGATTGTCGAACAGTACGAGGTCTTCAAGCGCTCATAGAGCGTGAGTGGCTACAAGCCGGCCATCAATTTTTCAGCCGGACCCGTTGCAGTGCCTATCAGCCTTCGAACTCGCAAAATCCGACGCACGCGCCAACGTTTCTGCTTTTCCTCGATTGCCTGTACCAGCTGCATCACCAGTTCCAATTTAGCTTTGAGTACACCGCGGATTTGCTCGTCAAATTGTACAAGCACGCCTATTCCTCGAACTATGGTACATTTTTAGGTATGTGAGATAATGTATTTCCTTTACATAAATTCTATTACTATATATATTTTTATTATAAATCTCCCGTTTTCCTTTATTGCTATTTATCATTGTTACCTTTGTTCATCGTTGTGTATATATTGCTCGTTTATTTCAGGTGATTCGGAAGCGGAGAGGATAAAATTACGGCTGTCCGAACGAACTTACAGTTTATGGTCGTACATGAATCAACCGGACGTTTTGGAACAGTGGATAAATCCGTTGTACGAGCCGAATCCGGGAGTAATCTGGCCCAGCGTCGCACCCATCAGTATTCAATTGTGGAGAGAGCTGTATCTCGCGCATACGAGCGCAGCCCCGTGGGACGGTATGCTCTCCTATGCGAAGCAGATCAAGCAGAATCACACGGCAGTGCGCAAAGTAGCCGGACAGCTGCAGGCGCAGATCAAGCAAGCGTTGGAGGAGATCCGATCGGATCCGGACATGTCGCGGGGAGACGCGGATAATCAAGAGGATCATCCCCATATAGCGCAATTGAGCCTAGAGTCCCAGAGTACTTGATACAGATTGTAGAGGTCGAAGAAAAACCGAGAGAATCCGCGCTGCTGTTCAACGATCTTGTCAATATGCCTTTAATTATACAATACCACGTTAATCCGCAAGGATCAACGATCTGCCACGAATGCTGAAGCCTTCGTAATAAATTCTCGACGCAATTCTTTCGACTTTTTTCGCCGAGATGAAGAAAAGGGTGTCTATTAGATCTTAAGAATAGGTCTGCGAAGCGTATCGTCGTTGTCAATATAGATTTGAATATTGCGTATCGTGTAAAATGTATTTCTCTCACGTCTATTTCAGTCAATGCCACGCGATTTTCGCCTATATATAAATAGTGTAAAACTCGCATTACCGAAAGGATGTCAAGTTCTAAGTGTTTAAACGATTTAAGCGAGACGAGATAAATTGTGATATTTTTTATTTCACGACAAACGCATGGTTCATATCAAAACCATGAAACAGAGCTATAAAACGGTACATACACAACATTTACATTTATATATATATATATATATATATATATATATAAATTTTATATATATGTATATAAAATACTGTATACATATATAATTTATTTATCCAAAGGTACAGTAATATAAACCAATGAAAATGAACTGTATATTGTTGATCCATTATTAAAGAGCGAGTAATTGCGAGGGTAGGACTTGCGAATTTTTCATTTGAACATACGAAGAGAAGGAAATCTTGTTTGTTCGGGGGTACGGAGCGAGTTTTTACCGTTATTCGGGAAGCATGGCGGGAGGGCGGTGGACGAGAGAAGGGAAGGCAAGGGAAGAGGAGAGGGGAGGTTAAGGGCAGGATTGTTGCCGCTGCCGTGGCAAAAGGGGGAGAGGGCTGGAGGGGAAAGCGCGGCAGGTGTTCACACACAAAGAAACTGAAAGGGAATCCCACGGCCATTGGCTCCGCCACTCAGGAATGCATAGAGTTTCGTCAGCGTTCGCGTTTCGCGATCGAATATACATGCACGTGTACGCATCCTCTTAATATACTATATAATCATGAGACTTAAGAGTAGGAGATACATCTCTCTCTGTACGCCGCGTTAAGTTGCAAAACTCGGAGAGGACAAAGGACAGCTCCAGGTGGCGACGAGGGGGTGCACGCAACTTTAAACGAAATTAAAGCGATTAACGTTGTGTGATTTTAATTTAAGCAGTCTTAAGGGAATGTCTTAAGCGTCGTTTGCGTTCTTAATGTTCCTTGAAGGCCCCACAGGTTCGCGCGTCTTGTAAGCGTAACAGAATTCGCGTGGGCTTCGGACGGCACACGAGGGTGAGAAGAAGCTTCGAGAATAAAAGATTAAGGTGTAATTTCCGACGCCTGGCTCACCCCCGCGTTCGCCACGAATGGACGGGGAAAATCATTTCGAAGCGCGTCTATCGCGTGGGAGATGCAGAACTTGAGACGACGAAAGAGCCGCGAAAGGGGGTTGACTTCGGATGTGTAAATACGCACTCGTGCTCGTCGGAGTATCTCGAGGACTAGAACGTCCTTCGACGCATTCACGACGCCATTTAGGCATCACGTCTTGGCGGCGGTGGCGGCGGCGGCAGTGGCGGCGACACGGGCGAGCGCGCGCGGAGATTATTATACCGGTTTCAAATCTACGCGACGGAGGAGATCCGCGACCTCGCGCCTGCGACCGTTACCTCATGATATCGCCGTGTAGCCTTTCTCTATCTCTTTCTCTTTCTCTCTCTTTATCCTTGTGTCGATCTGTCCCTCAATTACCTCGCGATATCACTTTTTTTTCCCCCGGAGAATCTCGGGAGAAGAGAAGAACAGGTGTGTTGGTCCGCGCGCGCGCGCGCAGGCGCTCGCGCTCGCGCTCTCCTCGCCTCAGCACAGGTCCAGTATCCTTGGATGAGTGTGGATCTAGTCACGCATATAATCGTGAAACGTGGACTGAATTCAAACCCATCCAGGGCCGCTGGACGGGCGTATCGGACGATCCCACGTTGCCCAATTTCCCTCTTCCTCCGAAGGAAATTCTCTCTCCTCAGGGCCGATCCCCGCGGAAATTTCCTCGTCCTCGTCCAAAAGAAGAGACACAAACGTCGTCGACGAAGCCGGAAAGCAGAGTGATGCGTCCGTCGAGAATGGCATTAGCGGCCTCACTCAGTAGTAGGGGCATTCTCGGAGAAGGGGCCCCGTACCGCCGTTCTCTCTCTCTTCTCCCCTCACCCCCGTGCGGTTAGTCAGTCTCTCTTCGTCCCGTGATCCTGGCTATTTCCCTCTCTTTCTGTCTCTTGCTCGCAAGCAGGCAGTTACCGTCGGTGAGGCCCTTAAGGAGGGGCGAGAGAAGGGACGCTTTTTCCCAAGGCGTCCGGGGATCACAACAAAGAAAGATGCGATTTTCGAAGCGAAGAGCGGAGAGCGAAGCGACCACGGAGAGACGTTTCTGGACAGCAGCCTGAGAGCGGTGGTAAAACGTTTCTGTCTCTCCTTCTCTTTCGCTGCAGAGAGAGAGAGAGAGAGAGAGGACATGTATACATATATACCGGAAGGCGATGCCGTATTCCTGAGTAAAACGCGTTCGCCCGTTTCGCTTCCGCGAATTAGCGAGATGAATGCCGGATTCTTCTTTTATCAGCTCGCCAAAAAAGAAAGTAAATGTTCCTATGTAGATGTCATACTACCATCGCTGCGGAGCACCGAATTCGTATCCGCGGCCGTACTTCGAGCCCTCATTTCGAAAAACCTGAGCACCACTGTGCTTCAGAATCAAGGAGCACTAACGGCGGTTAAGAATGTCCTCTTCTTATCTGAAATAAACAAATAAGTTACCTGAGTATAGTTCAAAGAATTTGATGTTATGGACATACACATTATTGGTCTTGTGGACTTGAATAATATGACATTGGAAATGCCACGTTTGTTATTTTTATTTAATTTATAGCAAGAATTAAATTAATTTCGTATATGTTTGACAAATTGAAGAAGGATATAGATACAATTTGATATAAACGAATCTCGTGATTGGCAAAACGAAATATGCAAGATCACAATTTATATTCTCTCTTCCTACAGATTAAAAATAATAGAAAGGAAAAAAACGCTTTTATTTACTTTATTTACGATTAAAAGAGTTAGTTAGAAAACGTGAGATTTATTTTAGTGAAGAATCTAAAGAAGAATCTGGAATAATCTAGCAGCTAGCTAGAAGATTTTTCAGAAAAAGATAATGCAATTCGAAAATTGTCTGGCAATACACATCTTTTGTTCCGCTCTAAGACTCTTTGTGGCGATTCCTTTATGCCCTACGCATTGTTGCACACTTACTTCGGACATTCGCGATATCACGCATTGTCAGTGAACTCTCCAGGTACAGGGCGCCGATTGTGTTGCGCAACAAGCGAGCGTGTGCGTGACCTTGAACTTCATCTTTCCTTTATCTTTCTCCCACAGCATCCTGAGAGAAAAGCTAGCGCGGCAGCGGTGATTCATTTTCGAGATGCGGCGTCGTCCGTACAATTCGCATGAAAATAACGCGAGGAGCTTCGACCTGTTCTCTTCAGACAGGAATCCGCACAGATGAAAATACGATATGCGTTTAAAATTTCTAACGTTAATATTTCAGTGTTGAGACGAAATAATTTTCCTTCCTTCCGACTTGTTTTCTAGTTTCGTTCTCCCTGTAATGCAAACGTAATATTTGAGAGACGCGCGTATTTTTCGTGCGTTCTTTTTGGGATGCACCCTTTGATACTATACACTCTTTTGATCTCGAACGTGTTATTTTCTTACCGCAAACCTCTCCGTGGTAAACATCACACGGGAATGTTAGGCGTCTATAAAATCCGGTTGTGAACCGCTTGAGATATTAGAGGGCCGCTAGAAACCGAGGAAACTCGCGATAAAGAAAAGAATGACGACAAACTCGCAGGTAGCCGTAAATGGAAAACGGCGTTGCAAGACAATTTTCGAAATAACTCACGTACACGTACGCGTAGTCAAATTAGAATTGTTAACTGAAACGAATTCTAATTTATTCTACTTATTTTATATTCAAGAAACACGCAAGATGCGTGATCAACGATAGAAACAATTTTCAGACGAGAAAAAGTATAATATATATTGATCGACGATCCAAATTCATTTAAAACAATTGTTCATTAATTTCTCGAATTAAATTTGAAAATCGATATTTTTTTATTAGAGTTTTTTCTAGAATAAAATACTACTTTGCTTTTGTACAGAGCAACACCTTATTAATGTCTAGGAAATGCAAGTTCGCGCGATTTATGATGCACCCATTTTGACAGAAAAAATCGGAGCACCACTGTGAAAGCTACACGGACACTCTAAAGACGGTTGAGAATAGAAAGAAAGGAGGAAGGTGAAGAGAGAGAGAGAGAGAGAGAGAGCGGACGAAAGAGGAGCGAAAGAACGCTAGGTCGTGGAAAGCGAGTGGGGAAGGAGCGAGGTGAAGCTTGCAATTGTTGTTTCCATGATTTATACCTCGAGACTCGAGAGCCCAGCTAGAAGCATCCAGAGAGCATCCTAAGCGAAAAACCGGACCGGTGCGAAACCGATCCGGGAAGGGAACAAACGTACAAACGTACTCTGTTGGGAAATCCGACCAACTATCACAGGGAGCGATTCATCGATGGACTTAGAAAATCGCGGAATGTCATTGTGACGCTATCTATTAAAACTAGTCGGAACCCTGTAACCGATTTAGGATTCTCGACAATCTCGACTGTGAAGGTAACGAATTTTATTTGCAGTTTGCGAAGGTTTGCAACAGATGACGCTGGCAGTGACTTTTAGTAGTTTAGTACTTTTAGCATCAATGAGGTTAGATGGAATAAAATAAACACAATGGATCGAGCGACGAGCTTTCTGTTTTAGAAACAAATAATATATAAATTGTTAATGACAAAAATTAATATCTCTACTTGTTATTGTGTACGTATTGCAATTATAATCTTGCTTATTTTATAAATTGAAACAAAGAAAGTTTTGGTTTTTGAAAATTTTTGTAATATATTATATATATATATATATAACTAATTGTGAATAATTTACTTTATCTTATTCCTAATAGATATATATATATTAATTTTAGCGATTAAAATTCCAAATTCTCGAAAATTTTAAAAAATTCTTAGAATTTTAAATAGTGCAACCTCCTCATTAATTTAATTTATTTTCCTGGTCGATTTTTCATCGAGACTTTGATGATTGATTTGACAAACCGTACTGACGTGCAATGATATATTGTTTCAATGAAATTCTCAAATTCCCAAATTCTCTCACAGTATATAAAAAAAGATTAGAGATTTGGAATGACGATCAATTATACATAATTATATAAGAAATTTTACTTCAACTAATATATTGAATTTAATCGTTCCAGATTATACTTAATGGCCTTTCTATAAAATCGAAATCATTCTTACAATAAAGGCACGACCGAAGAGCATGCGAATTAATTCTTTTCATCTATAATAATGCATCGCGATATCAGTAAATATATATAATTATATATATATATATATAGACTTCTTTTTTGCAAGTCATAATTATTTATTGCTATCGCGAACAAGCGGTTGCAGTTGAAATTGATAAGTTGTAGCAGAGACTTCAACAAAAATGCCGATTAAAATCCATATACCAAATGTGCTTGCCGATGACTCGCGCTTGCCGTTTCGGTCTTGCAGAAGGATCTGCGTGCCATTCAACGGATGCAGTAAGTAAAACGGATATGGTAAGGACGCAGCGACTATTCTAGGACGGAAGTACACGCATGCATATACACGTGTCCGTGTTTAATAGCTACGGGAGTTCGTCGCTCTCTACGATATATTTGTGGTACTCTCTAAAATTGTCTCGTGTCCACAGGAGAGCACCTCAGACTCGCCGCGAGTCCTCTTGGTTTATTTTCGCGTCTCCTCGTCGCCGGGAAGGAGGAGCCCGCGGACTGCAGCGCAAAAAAATCTCAGCGATACCGAAGCGTGTGTAACAGCTACGAGAGTAATTCTTGCCGCAAGTTCAAAACCGATTATTAAAATCGGGCAAAAAAGGGGGGAAAGGATTGAACTTTATAACGCTCGCTCCAGGCACGATTGGGTCGGCCGCGCGCGAGCGTCGGTGCCGTCGGTTACGCAATCTCATGACCCTACATAGTCGGATAAGCGTGACGAGCGTCACAGACATAGGCGGCGTGCTCCTGGGACGGGCGTAAATCGGGTACGCACCGAAGCTATAAGAGACCGGTCGTCCCCGCTTAAGCACTCAGTTAGGCCAAGATCGTTCGAGGGAGTTCCATCGCCAACTCCGTTCAAACGGCCGTCGGAAGTTATAATTAACGCATCAACGAGTGTTCGGCAAAGCCAGCCAGGTTTCGTGCGCGCAAGTTTTCGTCCCATCGTTCTTCATCATGGTAAGAAAATCTCACGATCGTAAAATGTCTGTTCTCTTTGCTTTAGAACGATTCTCGTCGCTCACTTAATAAATAAGCTCGCGCGCGAGTGCGACGTAATGCGATGACATCATTATACTTATTGGCAACAATCGAGTCTGGTTCTTTCGTTGACGGGCGATCTGGTATTTCATCGCAAATATATGTGTTTTCTCTTCGGAAGAAGAAGCGTCGAGAGTACATACATCCGAGTCGATCCGTTATCGTCGTTCGAGAAATTTATTAATCCTTATTAAAACTGACGCGGATCACAGAGCAAAATTTTATCTAAGGATGGATCTTTCCGATTGGCGCGAGAGCGACGTTTGCAGTTGCATTACGTTGTTGCTACTTTTAGAAACAAAAATTTGCACGTCGCAATATGCGACAAGCTCCGCTGCGGCGAATAGCTCATCGCCTTTCGTTAGCAGCGGCGCTTAGAAAAATTTTGCTGGTTTTTCACACAAGACTAATGGCTATATTTCCACTTCTATTCACTCGCGGATCTCTGCCGACCCTGGAGCGTCCTACGTACATGCATGTATTATATAGTCGGCATTCTACTCGGACATTTCTTATATGATCGAGAGAACCTTCTCTTTTAAATTATCTATATAATTATTGTGTTAGAATGCATATATATATATATATATATATATATGTGTGTGTACTGATCTGATATGCATTTTACAAATGTATATATATTCTGATCCTTTAAATCATTTTTATGCATCATGAAGCGCATATAAAATTACAAATAGAATTTTGTTACAAATTAACGGGTCTAAATTATAAATCTATAATTAATACAGACCCAGGCAGAAATGATCGATCTACAGACCGCGATCATTTCAGTTGCGTCTGAGGAATGATTTGATAAAGTGGATTTTGATTAAAAAAAAAATAAAATAAAATAATTTATTATCAGACTGCAGCTTGTAATATCTTTTGCAGCGTGAATGCATATCCGTCCACGTAGGGCAGGCGGGAGTACAAATTGGAAATGCCTGTTGGGAGTTGTACTGCTTGGAGCACGGTATCCAACCCGATGGGCAAATGCCGTCGGACAAGATACTCGGAGGCGGTGACGACAGTTTCAACACCTTCTTCAGCGAAACCGGCGCCGGAAAGCACGTTCCCAGAGCAGTCTTCGTCGATCTCGAACCGACCGTCGTGGGTGAGTGTGATGTGACATTTTATATTATTATAATATGCAGCAAAAGTTCCTTACCTGGACGATCGAATTTGATCCGCCTATTCTTTCAGATGAGGTGCGCACAGGTACGTACCGGCAACTCTTCCATCCGGAGCAGCTGATAACCGGCAAAGAGGATGCCGCCAACAATTACGCGCGCGGCCACTACACAATCGGCAAGGAGATAGTGGATCTTGTCCTGGATCGCGTTCGCAAGCTGGCGGATCAATGCACGGGACTCCAGGGCTTCTTGATTTTTCATTCGTTCGGCGGCGGCACCGGTTCCGGCTTCACGTCCCTGCTGATGGAACGACTATCGGTGGACTACGGGAAAAAGTCGAAACTGGAGTTTGCGATTTATCCGGCGCCCCAGGTCTCTACGGCCGTTGTCGAGCCGTACAACTCGATCCTCACGACGCACACCACCCTCGAGCATTCCGACTGCGCGTTCATGGTAGACAACGAGGCCATATATGACATTTGCAGACGTAATCTGGACATTGAGCGGCCGACTTACACCAATCTGAATCGCCTGATCGGCCAGATTGTATCCTCGATCACGGCCTCTCTACGCTTCGACGGCGCGCTCAACGTCGATCTAACGGAATTCCAGACGAACCTGGTGCCCTATCCCAGGATCCACTTCCCCCTGGTCACCTACGCTCCCGTCATATCCGCGGAAAAGGCCTATCACGAGCAACTGTCCGTCGCCGAGATAACGAACGCCTGCTTCGAGCCCGCGAATCAGATGGTCAAGTGTGACCCTCGTCATGGAAAGTACATGGCGTGCTGCATGCTCTACAGAGGCGACGTAGTACCGAAGGACGTTAACGCGGCAATCGCGACTATCAAGACCAAGCGCAGCATCCAATTCGTCGATTGGTGCCCCACGGGATTCAAGGTCGGCATCAATTACCAGCCGCCCACCGTCGTTCCCGGCGGTGATCTCGCCAAGGTGCAGCGTGCCGTCTGCATGTTATCCAATACGACGGCGATCGCCGAGGCTTGGGCGCGGCTCGATCACAAATTCGATCTGATGTACGCCAAGAGAGCCTTCGTGCATTGGTACGTCGGCGAGGGGATGGAGGAGGGCGAGTTCTCGGAAGCGCGGGAGGATCTTGCCGCTTTGGAGAAGGACTACGAAGAAGTCGGTATGGACTCCACCGACGGCGAGGGAGATGCTGCAGAAGAGTACTAAAAGAAATACAAACTTATCGATTGAAATCTCTACGTCTCTTCATATTTCGTATATTTATACTGTGACGCTTGCCATTATCGCTTTTATTGCGAATTTTCTCTTTGCCTGATTTTGTAATGCAATCCGAAGCGATGTTAACTGTTTACCCTGCACTGCTTTCCCTTTTTCGAGCCCAATCTGATCCCTGATGATATATACGGTGGAGTCTTCGAGGAGCGTATTCGCTTCCTTACAACAATAGCTGTCACTTGCTCGAAAAAATAACTACTGAGAAATATAAGCACATCTAAAAATACTTTTTTCGTGTATTTTGTAATATTATTTATATATATATTATCAACCATTATACAATAGATTGCATTAATATATAGTCTTCGTACAATTATTATCGATCATTATATGTTACGTGAATACAAGGATGAGATGAAGGGGAGGCGAAAGAAGAAAAGTGTATATATTTCTTTAGAGGATGTGTCAAAGTCAGGTCGACAAAGCACGTCGTGATGAAATCGTTCGAGGAAGAAAGCGTACGACGTGCAAATTCGATTGCATCACGAGCTCAGCTCGCAATTTGTTGCACTTTTAGATTATTGTAATGCGAATGATAATAACGCGTTGACCTTAATAATAAAACTATAATAATAGCAATGATAATATTAATATAATATTTTGATAATAAACTAAAAAATAATAGTGCGAATAATAATAATAATAATAATCATCACGGTCGTCAACATCAATCTCGATAAAAACAACGCCGAATAAAATATATCGTTAGAATTTCCACCTCGCGCATGCATTCGATGAAAACAAAAAAAAAAAAAAAAAAACTTGCAAGCCAATGTGCATGTGCGCTTTATTTCGTTCTCATTATTATCTATTCTAGTCCTTTCAGCCACTTCGAGCATGAATGATTCATAATGCTCAAACTGTTAAAACAGTACTATATATCCTTCTCGTTTACATATACTCGGTTCTACGTATAACACGGCTCGGTATTATACGCAGATATACATACAGTTATACATTATGTTATGTATAGGATATAACGCCGACTTTTATTTGTACAAAACACACGTTGTATAAGCGGTCGATCGTTAATTACGGATGAAGAACATTACTAATGTAATCATTAGTGCTCGAATTATCAATTTGAACAACACTCCTCCGACAGCTTCAACAAGCCAAAGAGAATGACGAAAAATCGCAATGTTCCGCATTCGCGGCTTTGATTGCTCTTCAAGAGAGCTCTTCTTATTCAATTAAAATGTACGACCATATCGAAGACGACACGACTCTGGGAAAGATATTCTTCTTACTTGGTCCAACCAAGTTCGACTTGTTGAAGTTATTGCAAAAAAATGTTATTCAACTGCAAATGACGCGCGACGACCAAAGGTAAATCGAACGATTACTCAATTGCAAATCAGTAGATACGTAGTAAAGATTGAAACGGGTGTCGAATGTGCTAAAGACTAATCGATTGACGAAGATACGAAAGGCACGTCTTTTACATATAAATGAGTAAATTAATCCGTCGTAAAAGGAGAGGGGAAAACAAAAAATTCTTACATGATTCTGCGCTTCTGTATGTACAACGAATATTCATCATAATAAATTTCGAAATGGTTAAATTATTTTGTTAGGTCGAATAAATAGATAAAATTGAAAATTTCGTGAGAGCACACGTCGCCGTATTTCGGATTCCACCTCAGTTCCACTCTGAGTCACATCTACTTTACATCTTTTTAATGGACACACCTAAAAGCTGCTTACCGATTGTTCAAATTTGGTAACAATTAATACAAGCTGACGAATGTCGCCGTGAGGCATGATGACTCACTGTCATCGTTACGCGCTATTTTCTTTTTCTTTATTGAGTTGACATAAATTATAAAGTATTATGTCGATATAAGCGCCAATCGATAGTCTGTAATAAAGTTCTCAACTCTGTAACAATCGTAATCGACGGGCTATCATACGGCACAAATTACTTTATACATATCACGAAGACGAGTACATCAGTCCGGGAGTCAGAGACGATTTCTATTGTCCGGATGCTTTTGATACAAGAGGACTGTCGTATGAGATCCGTATATTCTCGCGCAACGCATTTTCTTTCGCACGCCAGCTTCAAAATTCTAGAACACAGCCTTTCGCATTCACTTCTACTTCTTTTTTTTTCTTCGCGATAGAGCCGATTCAGTATCGCCCTGCAGTTCAAGTCCACGAAAATCATTCGAGATAAAATATGTTTCGTATCGATATATATTCGCGCAAAGTTTACGCAAAGTATAGCATTATATCTCCATCCCTCCGCTTCACAAGAGAGACCTGCATGTACGAAATTTTTTCTCCTAATCTAAAAATTACCAGTTATAATCATTGAGATAATCTTGAGATAGAGGAAAAAAATAGAGTAGAAGCAAATAGCAACGATGACCATAATATAGCAACAACGTCGACAACGACGGCGAGGATGACTATGATAATGGCGATGGCGACAATAATAATGATGATAACGATAACGATGAATGATGATAATGATAATAACGAAGACGACGACGAAGGCGGCGGTGACGACGATGACAACGTTGGTGTCGATATCGACGGAAACGACGAGCAGAAAGAGGACGAGAATTTACGACAATGGCAACGGGGCAACGACGTCGACATTGGCAAACGAAATAATAAAGACGACAATAATGATGACGCCTCTCTCTCTCTCTCTCTCTATCAGTCTGTTCTTTCTTCGTCGCAAAGTATGCATATGTAACTCTTTATTGCGTTACACACAAACGGGATAGGAGAGGCAAAATTAAATAGCGGATTAAATACATTAGCGCGACGCTTAACAAATTAAAAACGTAAAAACATTAACAGTACAATATAGTTTCCTTATCGTAGACGTAATGCGATGGCAGTCTTGAGTCCTGGAAAGATGCTGTGATTGTTGCTCGTTCGCGCTTCGATTTTTCCTCGCGCATTCCTCCGTTTCATCTTTCGCCGTTTCGTCTGTGCTTCGTCATACTCGTCGAATCTCATCCTTTATCTTAAACCGAGCTCGCGTTTCGATCTTGAGTTTAAACTTGCATGTTTGTTTTATTTTTTACGAGAAGCTTTTGCTTGTGGCAGTGTCTGGAAATATAGATGTTAATTCAACGTTAATATCGCTCGGAGTTTCACAGCATGTGCTTCGCATTATACATATACAAATATATATATTTAATTATTCACGCGAATGTAATTCTATCAAAAAAAAAACATGACTTGATTTTCGCTGCAGCCATAAATTGAAATTATTGAAATTTAGCGCGAGCGCGTCTAGTCTCTAAAGGAAAAGCTTTGATTTTTCTTCCATACCTTTAATGAGCAACGCCCGGAATCAACAAATTAACCACGTCGACTGGGACGATCGCGATTGAGCAAGCGAGCGAGCGAGCGAGCGAGCGAGCGAGTTGCTGAAAATTTTCATTATTTATTCAGAACGGAGAACGGCAGTATTCTCCAAAATTATTCGTCGATACTATAAAAGAGGAAAGAGTCTGAAAGAAGAAATAGCGACTCGCTCGGTCGTATAATCGATTTGTAGATCATAGATTAGAAGAAAGAATGCTTTATAGCATAAGCATACTAATGTTCATGAGATAAAAATAACGTTTAATAGATCCGTAAGTATATTCGTTCGCAAATCTAAAGATTCTTTACGCGTCGAATAAGAGAGATTGTTTGAATAATTTGAATCGCTTACCTGAGCTACGACTACCTACGCCTCGACCGACTTCTTCTTTTCCTTCTTCTTTTTAAGGAAGGATGGCGTCCTAAGGCCCTTCTTCTTCTTCTTTTCCTTCTTTGGCGACTCCTCGCTAACGCTCACATCCTGCGACATGGAACCCTTAACACGGAAGGTCCCAACCGTAACCATAAACCTTTCTGCATGCACATGCATAGAGCGCCGAATTTTTCGCTTATGCTTAATTGTTCTATTAGTCATAATTATCTGGTCGCATGCAAATCGGTATAAAATAGAAGAATTTGTAGAAAGCGAATCTATTAACAAATCTATGAATGGCTATGCCGTAGAGGTGTGCGAATTCGAATCGAATAGTTAGGGAATTTTGAATCAACCGCCTATTTTATTTCAACTTCATTTATATATCTCGCGTGACCAATTATTCTTTATGTTTAATAAATAAATAAGTATTTTTGATGTATGTAATGTATCTATTATACATATACAGATTAATAAAATATTCAAAAGCATTCCAACTATTCGCGTATACACACATATTATTAATTACATCTTTTCTAGTTCAAAACGTCACGTATAAGATCATGATTTTTTGATAGTGAGATGTAATAAATCGAAAACAGGTCTTCAGTTTGTTTAAATCATTGCGTAAAATTATGCGAATCATAAATTTTGATATTTATTACGTTTAAATTAACATGTAAAGTAAATCTGGGAAAATTTAATTCAAATTCGATTTGTTTTCAAATTAAAGAGTTTTGATTCGATATTCGATTCGACCTGCATACAAATGATCGCACACCTCTACTATGCCGGCTCTGTATTATAAAAATTAATGCAAAAAGTAAAGCGACAATTCGCTCGAATCAAGACAAATACGCTGAATCTCTTATAGTATTGTAAAACGAGAAATATCTTATTCTAAACTTTATTGCAAAAATAGCGTTCCCATGTGTTAACGAATGCATGAGAAATATGACGTATAGTGTAACCTGACGTATGTATATACATATGCGGAGATTTATACAAGTCCACTAATTTTAAAGAATAAATCTAGAGCCAATAAGAAATAATTATCTAGACTGACTGAAAGTATCAAACATATAATCAAGAATCGTTTTAAATATGAGTAATAAAATGTAGAAGAAATTTTAATGCCCGATTTACCGCATATGGTATATGGTATTTGATAGTGTGAGATAGCTTTGATATTAAAATTTTTGCAACAAACCTCCTTGCTACTATGCGAAAAAGTACTGTGATGAGCGTCCGAGTGATCGCCGTTTACGGTATTTTCTCCTATAACATAAATAATGGATTATTTGGAACCTTTATTTGAATCCTCAGATCGTTGTAATAATAAAATAATTGAATCTCTGTAAGACAACAATGTAATGGCATAGCCGAGATAATTGCCAAGCAATCTGTAAGCCAAAGGATTGAAATTAATCCCAGAGTCTAGACAGCTGTCAATTATGCGTTATTAAAGTACTTGATAAAAAATGAAAAAAGCGAGAGAAAGAGATAGGCATCTTACCTTTCGAAAAATGTTGGTACTGGTCAGAGCGTCGTATTCACTGGTTGGGGATTCGTTACATAAAATTAATCATTCCCAAGCAAACAGGTTTTAACATCGCAGGATGCATGTATATCATCGATAGGATAGCGGGATAAACAGTGAAAATTAATGCAGGTTCGAATAGAAACGGATGCAGAAAATTTGATAAGCATTATGTGCAAACTTTTATATCATTAAACGCTTAGAAGCTGTGTTATAGTAGATGTATTGAAAATACATTGTACAAATGAATTAAGTAAGCATTTGCAATGCAAGTTAACTTACAATATCGTTAGAAGGAGGCAGTGCGCGTTATGACATAACAATCAGTCAAACTTATAATCACATATCAAGAAAATAAAGAATATTAAAATTAACATATTGCTAAGCAACAAAATCCTTCGTCTTTAAGTCACAACAGAAATAAAGAAAAAAATAATAATAATAAACGAAATTGGAAACATTAGAAAGCAAACGATATTAGCACTTTTATGAACGTTCATGCTAATTATAATCTAATCTAATGCACGTAGAAAATTGTCAAATTTTCTTTTTTGATTCAAATGTGCTTAAAGTCGATCGCGCAAGGATCGTGCGTCTTGTTCGTGCATAAAGGGACGGAACAATTATAAAAGCTATGAGAATCAAAATTTAACAGACACAAAATACATGAGTTTCTTAGCATCTAACGTTTCCATGCGTATTTATACAAATAAGTCTTTCTTCGGCAGCATATGATAAGATATCAGCGCACAAAATGATACGTAAGATCAAGTATACAAACTGTTCTTCACAGATGTGAATATTACAAGAAATTTTAAACAGAGCAACCGACACGCAAGCTAAAATGCAACGCGATTGCGTATACCGATGATTCCGGCGATTGTCTGATTATCGAAGAATATAGTTTTCCCCGATTAAAAAAAA